GCCATTTACTTTTCAATGATATTAAGTAAAGATCGATAATATCGATACTATCGATGGCTGCGTATTATCAATGTTTTCCCAAAGATGAAAGCCCAAAAGCTCCATCTGGGTTAAGTACTTCTTGCTTACCCCTAGTTTTATAATCTGATATAGTGCATCAACGAAATATGATGGAAAAACAACGCATTTACAAAATTCTAAAAAATTGCAAATCACTTAAGACCGGTTCGGTTTGCAAGGGGGTGACCCAAATACAGAGTCCCCGTTCGCACACATCCACTGCGAGCCGTCACTTACTTGGACATCCACAATGATAACAACTGTCTAATCTCTTTTTTTGGGCTGACAAGTGTACGAGTGTCCCTGCTGGGAGTTTGTTATCCTTTTCTGCTTAGATTGCTCGGCGATGTTGGCTTTTCTTTTGTCATTTCCCCGCCTGGCAACTCACTCCTTCGCCGCCCGTTCAATTTAGACGCACTTTACTTTTTCTGCATTAGAAGAAAAATCATTGGGGAGTACGAAATAACAGGACATGACAGCCTCCTGCCGAGCCCTGTGGAAAATTGAGTGTGCAATTTGGCTTTTCTTCTCAATAATTTTCCATTAGACAAGAATACGATCCAGGCAAAACAAAAAAAAGAAATATGAATGAATGTAAAGAAAAGAAAAGAAAATCACAAAAAATAGAAAACAATAAAAACCGACAATGGGATAGGGGGGAAAAATCGAATGCGTTGGCACAAAAAGGGGCAACCATTGGCCACGCGGTGTAAATGATGATAGAGTCTGGCTGGGGGACTGGGAATGGGTTCCGGTTCCCATCCACGGGGTGGATGACTTGCTCACACACTCACCTCCGCAAGTGTGTGTCCGCATTTCTATATATATACATATTTATATATATACACCCATATAGCTGCGATGCGAACGAGGATGATGACGACGTGGCCGACGACGACGACGACACTTCTGGTTCAGTGAAGCATAAGAAATTCTCGAATGAATCGCTCTGTTGACGCTTGAGTAGACTTGAAGCGATAAGCGGTTTTTGTCCCATATACAAAAATATATCTAGTCGCGATTCCCTTTGTCTGCCTCCCAGGCAACCCAACCTCCCACCGGGCAATCTGGTTCACCCATTCAAACAATAACTTTAAGCTTAGGCTTGGGGAAATTCAAAATCACTCGGTGGTTGGACCAGAAAATAGGGGACATCCCTTGTAACATTATATATTTTAATAAAATATTTCACGGTTTCTTTGAGTGAGAATTGTTCTTAAAATTTTTTCAATTTTTATAAATATAATTTCATAAATTATGACATGCCAGTCAAAGTGACTTTGCTCAGCCCACCGTGCGTATACGTGATGTGGATGCCGCCCAGCTGATAGCTCATACGCCCCGTTGCCGCCGCCTTGAGCCATAACCCAAACCCTAAGCCCTGTTCCCCTTCCGAAGCTGCCTGTCCTAATGGAATTAATCAAATGTCATGCTGATGTCGCACAAATGTAAAAAGTTCCTGCGGCGGTTGGCGATGCTGTTGTCGCTCCTGTTCCGTTCATTGGCACTAGTGTCAGATGTTTAAAGTTTCGGACAGCGGAGCCGCCGCATAACTAGTTAACAAGCATTTGCCGCAGGTCCTGGCAAGCGATTGCAGGACGATAGAGCTATGGGACGATACAAGGACGACGATGCCCATTAAATTGTTGATCTTGGCCAGGCGACAGCATCTGTTCCATACCGCAGGCGACACAGAGAAGGCAGCTCACACACATATATGGCACATATGGACCGTGGGACTCGCAGGACCCGTTTTCGGTGTCGTGATTCTTTTGCGCCCCTGGGGCAACATGTGTCTCTGTCTCTGTCCCTGTTTCTGGGTCCTGCCACCGCGTTCGGACTAAATCTGAAACCAATTTGCTCACCGTCCCCGCTGCCCTGCTGCTGCATTCTATTTCAGCGCAGCCATTGCCACTCAATTTGAATTATGGGCACGGGTCAAAGCTACATACATATGTGCAAAATGTGATATCGTGGCTCCCCCGAGGCTCATCGCGATGCCATCGACTCGGGCACACAGGAAGAATGTATATCCGTTGTGCTATTTCCGTAGACCTTCTGTATATTGTTAACTCGTGCTTTTACCACCACCTTTTTTTAGAGTTAGACATCGGGTAATAAGCAAATACATATTCTAAACAATCCATTATAAAGACTGTGCTCATAAATGCCTAATTAGATTTAGGCATAATCAAATTAGGAAGTTTTTTTAAATTATTGTATCTAACCAACTTATACTTAGATATGAAATTAAATGAGTGTGGTATATAATAAGCTGGGATCAAAAATGTTTTTGCATACCTTCGTATATAATTTATTTAAATCACTGAAAAATGTAAGACGATTTGCTCTTTCGTCCTAGATATTTTTTAAATGCATAATTCAGCAATGATATGAAAATTAAAATAAAATCCATTATGTTATATACTTCAGTAGTTATACGTGGATGCCACACAAATCAAATAACATTATAGGTGTCTAAAAGTATGCAGCAATATATTTTAATCCCAGAAGTACAATGAATTCATTAAAAAAGTCCACAATACTTTTTTCACTGCATACTTTTAGACACCTTAAATGACATTTAAATGTGATTTCAAAACCCTAGGGTTATTTTCTTTGCAATAGGGTCTCCTAGGATTAATTTAAAATTAAAAATGTAAATGTAACTGACATTGCTTTGTGCTTTTCCTTGATTGCCTTTCCCTTCCCTAAGTGATTTTAATGTGAGCTGAGAAAAGGGAAAATATATTTTTAAATGCAAAAGCCCCAAGGGCTAAAGTTGTCCCCTCTGCCATCTCAATCCCGACCATGTGTGCTTTCTTGACCTTGGCACCCAGCTCCCTCCAGCCCCATCCAAAAATGCCGCCGACGAACTTTCACCCCCCACCTTTCACCACTTTCCCCGCTACTTTCGCCACACGCGACTCACCACTATGGCGTTGAAAATAATTACACTTGCTGATTTATTGAGTGTCGTGTGGTGCGGCAAGCAGTGGAGCTGTGGAGCTGTGGAGAAAGGGGAAACGCCTTGCACTGGCCGGATGTTGTTAATGAGGCACGACATTGGCCGGGATGGCTGGGATTGCTCGGATCGGATTGGATTGCACCGGCCACGTCATATTATAAGCGCCCCAAGGTTGAGTGGGGTCAAGTGATTAGACCCACTCCGGCGACCTGGCAGTGAGTAATTGCGTTTGCCGGGGAGCAGGAGAAAAACAAACTGGGATCGGGATGGGCCAGGGATATTGAACCGAACCGAACTGAAGAAGCCTTTGTGCCGGGCACTGCGACCCCGATTCCGCTGCGGAAATGCAATCCACCCCAATTCAATTACAAGCCGTAATGGCGGAGTTAACATCTATTTATGCATGTAGGGGGTTCATTTAAAGGTTAAAGGTACACTAGTTTCTCAAGGATTTAGTATTTCGTAGTTAATGAAAATTACCTTGGAAATTATCTATAAAAACAAAAGGGAACTTGCAAGACTTGGTATACTTACAAGTTTTTCAATTATTTTGTAAAACCTAGACTCTTTATTTACTTTCGCCTACAAATTGCATTAAAATCAGATAAATTGGGAAACAAAATAGACAAATATCCCACTAGAATACTTATAAACAAATATTTAAAATTATAAAAAATATGAACGCAAGCATAACGCCCTTGGAAAAATATGATCTACATAAATATCACGTTCAAAATTAAATTAGGCATATCTTAGAAGCATTCAAGAAATATGTATTTATTTAATAATTTACTAATAATGCTCCAAATGCTTATATATTTCAAAAACTGCTGCAAATACTCTGGTATTTCCTAAAAGACCTTTGAATCTTTTCTTCTTTCGGTGTACACCTTTGTGGCCCTAGGCCAGGACACCTATGTAGATCCCATTGATTAGGACTTGTTTCCCTGAGAGCCCAAATGTGGCAGTTTGATTTGCAGCTAGTCGGGGGCTCAACGATTCCGTGTTCCTGTCGCCGGGAGTCCGATGTGTGCCAACAATGATTAGGATGTAATGGACCAGACTATCCCGAAAGGAGTCGTCTGAATTATGTGGCAAAAGGCAGGAATGACTTCTGTGGGGTTGCTGGTGATGCAGGGGTTGGAGGTTGGTGTTCTAGAGGCCAGGAAGCGACACTCTCACCCGGATCCGACTCCGAATCCGGATCCGGACTGGGGGCCCGGCACTCCGGCTGTGCTTTATGGCTTGCGTGCGGCTGGCGCATATTCAAAGGCATCGCTCAAGCGAAAGTGAAATTAATTACTCGACTTCAGCTGAGCTGAGCTGAGTTGCAGGTCGGGCTCAGTCCGGCTGAGTCTCGTTTTTGGTTCGCCTCGTTTGACTTGAGTTGAGTTAAGTTAAGTTAAGTTAAGTTGGTGTTTCTGCCGCTGCCGTAATTAATGAAAGAGCCCCGGCACTGCGCCATTTCGTTGGCCTTTCTCCCCTCCTGGCCGAGGGCCAAAAATTTGATTAGTCCTTGGTAGCTGGACACACGCAGATCCTCTCCGGTCTCCCGGCGATGCGGAATCCATAATCCAGTATCCAGAATCCCCGATTCAGGGGCTCTGCACTACCGGCTAATGAGTCCATTTTCGAACCCTTTGCTGCGGATCCGATTACTTTTGGCCCCTTTGAAAGAACTCAAGACACTGCCCGCCTCCACCTGCCGCCCCCCTCCTCCTCTCATTAGGCTACAACGAGCCATCTTTTAATTATGGGCCATCGACTCGGGCGGCTTTAATCAGCGTCAATTGGCAAATACAAAAGCGAAAATTGCAAAATGTGTAAAGGCAAGATAGCGAAATGGGGAGTGGAATGGGCCGTTGGGGCCAGAGACACAAAAACCTTTTGCTAATTTAATTAAATTACACAATTTTCGCTGTCGCTTTTTGTAGAATAATTGGCAATAAATTGATTAAAGAGTTAATTAAACATGCGGCCATGGCAGTTGGGAGTGGGTCTGTTTGGCCAATGGGGTCGTGGGGAATGGGGCTTGGCCAAGCGGATAGATAATTGCAAAGGCATAAAGTGCAGGACCCCAGTGGGAGGAGTGTGAGTGTGTTTAAAATGCAATCGGGGTAAATGCACAGGGATGCACCCAAGCAGTAAAAAGCCATAGAGTTTACACTGTCCTAAAGAATGACCCAGTTCGAAAGATACCATTTCGAGAAAAACTGCTTTTTTGAAATATTTAAATATTGAAAAATTAAGGATCGTGTTTTTTGTTAAGAATCTAAATTTTTCGTAGTGTTTTTGATCTACAAATTTCCACAAAATGTCCCAAAATAAAAATGAAATACATATTTTTTGACCAACCTTGTACCTATTTAACTGATGTTTTGTAATATCACGTTTTTTTTATGAAAAGTGGTCAAAAATTAAGATTTTCAGGTTTAAATGGCAATCGATTGGGAATTTTACTACGAGTTCAGCAAGGTATGACACTTTATATTTGGACCATTATTAAAAGGGATTCATTAAAAAAACAGATATTTTTGGTCAACAATTTAGAATTTTGTTTTTGGTAAAAAATCTGTATTTTTCGTAGTGTTTGATTTGCAGTAACTTGGCCAAAAAATGTCCAAAATCAAAGAGTCATACAGTTTTGAACAGCTATTAACCTAACAAATATATCTTTGTTACTTTCCGACTAATTTTAAAAATATGAATTTTCCGACCAATTTTTACCAATTTATAAGGGGTAACATCACGTTTTTTTTTGAAAATTGGACAAAAATTAATAATTTCAGCTTTAAATGGCAATCGCTTGCAAATTTTATTACGAGCTCAGCAAGGTATGACATTTCATTTTCGGACTATTATTAAGATTTTTTTCGGCCAAAATGCTGGTTGAATTGGGTGTAAAGTAAGGATACATTTTTAGGTAAAAGTATGATTCTATTGCTTTTGCACAGCAGGGTATAAGTTATCTGGGTACACATTTTTACCAATCGGGTGACTATATTTTAAAATATTTATAGATTCCTTACCATTTCTTACCAATCTCTGATTCGGGAAGTATGCCAAAATTTTTGGGGAATTTTAAGACAGTTCGCTGTTTAAACTTTTATATCTAAAGTATTCTGGTCTGGTATCAGGTATTAAATCTATTTAAATTCTAGTATTCGATTATTAACTTTTTAAAATGATACGTTTAGGATACAAATGTATTGGTTATGGGCATGTTCTGATTTCTGGCTTTTATCTTTATCACTCCAGCTAAAGGAACCATGCCGCTGGCGTTGCAGGAGTTGCAGCTCGTGTCCGCTGGCACGCCCCCGCCCCACTAGAGGTTGAGCCCATTCGATTGGCGGCGGGGAACCATTAGCGGGACCAGCAGCATTATGGCAGCCCAGCCATTGAGCAGCACGGCGGCAACATCCGCGGCAACAACTGCGGCAGCCGGTGCAACATCGGCGACCCTAACCACGTCAGCCGCTTCCACATCGACGGCAGCCACGTCCGCATCCGCATCGGCATCGGCATCGGCATCCGCGGGAGCCACGTGGATGCAGAACCAGCAGAGCCATCATCAACTGGTGGCGGATGGCGGTGGCTCCAATCCGGCGAACGGCAGCGATTCGCAGGCGGGCGTTGAGGGCCCCACAATGCCGGCCGGCTACTTGCCGAACTACGAGGATGTGGAAACGGCGGCGGAGGACGCCGGCTACGCGCTGATCGACGACATCAGCGAGTGGCTGTTGGGTTCGGTGGGTGGTGATGAGGTGGCCGTGGGCGGGCAGGAGAACACGACGACCTTGGCGGTAACGAACGGCGTTGGCGGCGCCAATGGAACGCTGGGTTGGCTGGAGGTGCTCAACAGCACGCTGCCAAATGGCCGAAGCAACTCGAGCGCGGAGGAAGTAGAGTTGGAGGCTCTGGAGGAGGGGGTGGGGGAGCGGGCCAGGGGGCGGTACGCCCTGCGCAGCTTTGTGGAGCAGCAGTTGGGGGGCGGCGGAGCTGCGGGGGCGGCCGGTGGCGGCGGCGGCGATGCTGGCATCGCGCTGATCGACAGCGGTGAGGAGGCCGCCCTGGACAACGTGGCGGATGCGGAAACGGACTATGGCCTCCTGGGCGGCTTCGGCGATGCGGAGCTGCTGCAGCGGACCGCAGCGGCGGCCAGGAACACGCTCGGCAATCGAACGGCGCCGGCGACGACGAGCTACGATGGTGGCGGCTCTGGCGATGTGGCAGGTACCGCCGGGGTCGGCGGAGGAGGAGGATTGGCTGGAGGACTGGGAGGAACTGGAGGAGGATCAGGGGGCAGCACCTTCATGCTGCTGCTCGAAAACTTTAACGATTATTTTCCCAACTACAATGGGAGCACGGTTTCGGGAACAACAACCATTGCGCCGGGGGCGGGGATGGGCTCGGGCATGGGCGTGGCCATCACGGGGAGCAGGGGCGGCGGCCTGCTGCTCGAGCAGAACCTGACGGGACTGTACCTTGACGGCTACCGGTTCAACTGCACCAACGAGACGCTCAACCTGACCGACCCCTGCGCCGAGCTGAGAGTGGGTGAGTAGCCCAATTTCAATTCCAATTCCCAAAACAAAACGAAACGAAACAAAACCATCCATCATAGCCATCAATTTGAGCCAGCTATGCTGAACTTTCACGCAAATGGATAATAGATATTAAAGTTCTGAAATCACTTAGAAAGTTTTTTGAAGTATATATATTTACATTTTTTTTAAATTCTGAAAGACGATGTTCTAGTTCTGCAGTTTACTTTTTCTATAAATTTAAACAAGAAATTAAACAAGAAATATAGATTTAATATGTGTAAACTGAAAAAAGACAGTAATCATAATAATTTCATATTCAATTTATATAATTTTGCTTCCGAATGAAAATTCATAAAAGTTTTCTTGTTCTTAAAAATTGAAATATTAAATCCAAGAAGTATACAAGTTTATAAGCTTTATAATGTAAAGTGATCTATGTAAATTCGCAAATTATACTTTCTACCTTAATTCAAATATTATTATATTCTTATTCGTGTATATTGACAAAAGGCTATCCGCATTCTTTTATTTTCTTAAGAACAAGTACAAAATTATAAAATTCATGTCAAAGTAGTACACAAGTTTTTAAAATCCAAGGCTAATACTTTTTTGTCTGTATATTTCTTAAAAAATAGATAGCAAACTCTAAAGTTTTTCTTTCTAAGAACGTAGAAGTACTTACAAATAAATTGAATAAATTCAGAGCTCTAGAAACGTGTATCCTTAAATGCGAATATTTTCTTTGTTTGTACGCCCCCTAGATTAAACAAACAGTTAATTTAGTTGTCAGCCACATTTTCATTAGACAACGCTGAATTAATAATTGAGCTAAGGGGCATGTTGAGGTTTTCTCATAATAGTGAACTGCAAACAGGACTTCGGATGCGGAATTAAGTCAGCAGATGCCTGGGGGTGGAAACAAAACCGCACACGAACACCGAGGAATGCATTCCACAGCCAGTGACTTATGCCATCTCTCCTTTTCAGTGGACCACAACTACTGGGCGCTCATCCTGATCCTGTTCCCCATCCTGACCCTCTTCGGCAACATCCTGGTCATCCTGTCCGTGTGCCGCGAGCGCTCGCTGCAGACAGTCACGAATTATTTTATAGTCTCGTTGGCCATCGCCGATCTCCTGGTCGCCGTGGTCGTGATGCCATTTGCTGTCTATTTTCTGGTAAGTTACCTCTATCCTTCTATCCTATATACTATACATACATAGGTAAACCATGCTTAATGGCCAGCGAATTTGGGTGGACGAGTTCCCTTGCGAATGCCTGCGATGGGGTGCCAAAATCAAAGTGGCCAAGTGCAAAATTACCAAACATTTCCGTTTAATTTTATCAAGTGTTGGGTCATATAATAAATAAACACGCTCATAAATACCAATCAGGATGGAGGCAGAGTTTCTAAGATTTTTTCGAAGGGGGGTCAGGACCCAGGAGCCAGGAGGGACGTGGCTTTTAAGTAAATTGGGGCCATTCAAGCAATAACATTCAATTTTGGGCGATGCCGGCATATAAATCAATGTGCTTCCTGAGCAACTGTTTAAGGCAGAAAAAGCGAAACCGAGAAAGGAACTCAAACGAATGGCGGTAAAAACGTTACACAAATAAAAAACACTTAAAAAAAGGATATCGTATATATTTAAATTAAAATTAATAAGAAATTAGTAATTTGAATATTTAAAATTTGAAATCTAAAGAGATTTGAAATGCCTAATAAAAATGCGATATCAATTAAAACAGAAAATTACATTTACAGATACAAGGTAATCCTGCTATGGTATTCATATCAAGCTCTAAAGCTTTAGTTTTATAAGCTATATATATAAAAGTCTTGCAAAAATTTGAAGAATTACCTCAAAACCAAATGCAGTAAAGCTACAGCATTCTAGTTTTCACTATATATTTTTACTTTCGTTTAGGTTTGTGTCAACTTACCCAACTTAATGCAAATTTAGTAAGATAGGTCTTAGCCTAGTTTATATTTAATAAATCAAAAATAGGCAAACAAGACGTTGTAGTTGCATAACCAAGTCTTAATTGAAAAAAGTTAAAGATCCTAGATGGCTTAGGTGATGATAGATTAGAACTTAGCTTTGGCTTATAAAACTTTCTGAGGTTAATAGATCGCTGAGAGGTCCTCAAATTCTGCGACTGTAAGTTGGACGGCGGCAGACAAACTCCCGTCTTGGCCGACTGCCTTTGACTTAAGCCGACGTTGCTGTCATTCCGTATGATTGATTGTTCGATTGACTGACTCACTGACTGACAGACTGTCTAGCCAAACGGGCCCCGCCCACTGGGAACGGACTAACAGGACTAACAGGACTCACTAACTGACTGACAGATTGATGGAAGTGCCTTAGTACCGACTTTGTGCCCGTTCCCAGCTCGTTTCCGGCCCTGTCCACTCTGGTGTTTCATCAGCATTCGGATTGCGGTCCCATATCCGCTATGCTAAACCCGGAAATTCGGCTGTGGATTATACAAAGGCATCGAAGGGATCGCCTTTTAAAGGACTGGCCTTCTTAATTGGTTGCAAGCCGCGCTTGTCACGGCTGCCACAATTAATTGCATGTTTATTTTATCGCTGGCAAATTATACCAAATTTCTCATTGCAATATTAAAGCCCTCGGAAGTCAAATGAAATTAACAACAGCCCACATGCAGTGACAGCGGGGGCGCTGGGCGTGGTTGCACAATAACAAATGTGCAAACTTGTCGCACAAATGAGAACAAGAAACTCGGTGCCAGAATAATTGAATGTTTGTTCAAATATTTATTTACGTTCTAGTTTTTTTTTTATGTACACTTGTTTTCTGCCCCGCTTGATGAAGATTGACTGACCGGGGAATATGGAAAAAATACAATTAATACGATGGCATAACAATATGGCAGGAAAAACAAATTGGTAGAAAAAAAATAGTTGTGAAAACTCGGGCTCGTCCGGGAGTTGAACCCGGGACCTCTCGCACCCGAAGCGAGAATCATACCCCTAGACCAACGAGCCGCTTGAAGGACGGCCTGCCAAAATGACCCCAAAAAGAGGGAGAGGGGGACAGACAATCAGAGGGAGACAGCCTACTTGATTGGTAATGTTTTTTTAGGTCGGGCAGCAAATCAAATCGATGAGGATTAAATGTCGTTTGTGTATTACCAGCAAATTAAAGGCCGCCCACCTTGAGCCTTTGTTGTTGACTTTCTAATGACGCACGCCCACTGAAAATCACAGCAAATTAACTTGTCATTAAGTGCATCAGTCAGCTCACCTGTGCAAGTGTCGGGTTTTAATTACCCATTCACCGATTTACCTCTTTACCTCTTTACCCCCTAACCCATTTAGGCGCCCACAAACGCACACACACACACAACCTCCCACTTGTCAGCTGCAGATGATGCCATCCATTGTAAACTTTCCCCGGTGAAAGTGATTTGAAACCCGAGATTTTGCGCACAATTGATGATGCGGTCTCTTTCTTTCTGGCGGGATCTCTTGTCGCCTGTCTCTCTCTAATTCATGCTGGCCTTGGCCTTCGCTTTTTCCACCCAAAAAACTTAATTACTTGGAAATACGATATATCATAGAAGATTTTCCTAAACCATTACTCAAAAAAACCCATTTGTCTGTCAGTTGGTTCTTAATAACCATTTACCATTTCAGGGAAAGAAGACTTCATAAAAGGTTTTATTATGATTTTAACTACCGTAACTACCTTTCTGTGTAACAAAAATTGCATACTTTTTGGCGGTTCTATAAATATATAAAAATTAGTATTTTCTGGTATTTTTTTGTTAGTTTAAAGATTTGCATTTTAAAGAACATAGGGATTGAAACCACAGAACGACCAGTAAAACAATTGGTAGCTTGAATTTTGTATTAAGTAAGTACAATTATAAAGTAGAACATTAACATATTAGGTATTTCATATAAGTCATGTTATTGTAAAGAACTTATAAGGTATTTAAGAAATATAGGTTAGGGATTGTAACTACCTGAGCGACCGAGTGAAAGATTTGGTAGTTTATAATTTTTAATAAATTATAATATTATTTATTTATTTGACATAGAGTACCTAACTAAAACGTAGTTAACCTGTAGAAAAGCCTTGGTTACTAGAACTTCGGCTATTATATTATTATTATCAAAAGAGGTTCGGTTGATATTATGGTATCCCATCATATCTCTCGCTTACTGGAGATTCCCCGAAAATCTTTGATCATGTCACAGTAAATCATGGGCTGGCATTGAAACCACCAAAACACTACTGGGTATTATTAAACTCAAGTCTTGGCGGTTTTCCAAGGGATACACACACATACCCATGCCCATTGATGTACGCATACCCACATTCGCACGCGGACACACATGAAAATTGATTTAGTTAAGAGGATTTGCGTCAACAACAGCACAATAAGTGGGCAGTAACACGGTCCAGTGCGATGTGAAGGAAATGGGAAATGCGAGTGGGTCAACTGAGGGGGTGGGGGTGTTGAATGATGGGGTGGTGGGTGGTGGGTGGTGATTGGGTGGCTGCTGGAGATGGGCAGCTGAAGGTAAGGAAGATTGGGGGCTCTCTGGCGCTCTTTGTGTGCGATGGCATTTGTGCCGGATAGCACTTAACTCATAAAAATGTGCGCAACAAAGGTTGAGGTATCCACCGCTCAGTGACCCCCACCCAAAATCACCCCACCACCCAAAAACCCCCCCCAACCACCCCACCAAAAACAGAAGCAACAAGAGAGAGCCTGGGGCGGAACGAACGAGATGCCAACAATGGAGAATTATTGCTTATGACACAAGCCAGCGGACAAACAAGGGGCGTTGGCTTGTCCTCGTAGTCCTGTCAGCGGTGGGCGTGGCAGGACATACACACACATACACACACATACACACACACACTCACTCACGCCCATTTAGAAGCGCCGCTCCCACGGATCCCGTGATTCTCATGCTGATGCCGAAGCTGATGTTCTTTGGGCACCGTACATGGCTCGTTTTAACTCGCGGCTTAAACAAATATACAAACATGTTTGCCTGCCCTCTGTCTGTGTGTTTGAGTGTGTGTGTGTGGGGCAGTGCTTTTCTATTTTAAGTGGTTGTATATGTCAGTTGAAAGCTTTTGTTGACATTCAAGTGGTCATTGAAAGTGTAAAAGCGTGCACACTGGACTGAATGGTTGTGGGGATGCTGGGAGGGTGGGGTTTTCCGGGGGTGAAGCCCGCTAACTGAAAGAAAATATCACCGGAAATGGTGATCAACTCGGTTTTCTACCGCCCAAAAGGGGACCACATGAAATGCCCTGCAAAAATTCACTAATTTTGTAGAACGGTTAAAGTTAGGGCCCATTTCTCAATGTCATGTTAAGGTTTTAGTTTGTTATCTATCAGACAAACTTAAATTTTAGAGAAAAATATTCATTTTCTCAATGTGCTGTTACCTCTACGAACATCCAATCTTCACAGGGTCTGATATCACACGATTCAGTTTAAAAATCAGACTGACAAACCTGAAATGCCATCTTGATGCTTGTATAGTTTTGACGACCGACAAATTTAACTCAAACTTTTCCTCTAGCTTAGATTTAAGTGACTTTAACACTAACATTACACTGTTATACTGTTAACTAAACGTTACAAGTTAACGTGACATTGAAAAATCAGGTCTAAAGTATATTAATTTATAAAAAGAAAGCATAATAATAGGGAGATCCAGTTGTTCACATTACTTTCAAGCCATGATCATTGGTATTTTTCCTTGTGTAGGATCCAAGCAAGTCAAAAAAAAAGACCTCGTCTGGGAGCTTGTTCGGGGCACTAATCTTATCAGAGCTGTGTTTGCTTTTTGTCTGCGAATGGTAGGATTTCTCCGTTTCCTTTCCTAATTTTCCTTTTTTCCATTCTCAGCTTTTTGGAGCTCCCACTGGGTGTTTTTCAGCCGTTGTTAATTGCTTTTGTATGCAGCTTGGGCAACGCTTTCAAGCTGACTTTTGCAGAAATGGGCCAGGACAGTGGGGATTAGAGGGGGAATGGGGATCGGGATCTGGATGGCCAGAGGATAACACAGAGCATCCCGGTGAGCAAATGCAACACGAGCAGAGCTTATCATTTCCCCAGATAGGATTACTATCCACACGCCATCCGTTTAAACAGATCCAAGAAGGTTTAATTTCAA